TGTTCAAAGATAAGGGTAGTATACTGACTATATTAAAGGGGGTAATGGCAACATGTCTTTTACCGTAATAATTTTTAACTTAAATATTCATTATATTTTTGATTACTCAAATGATCACAAGAAAATATTACAAATATGAACAAAGATTCATCTCAGTAATGTGCCCATGGATAATTTTTTTCTCTTTTTTTTAAAACTTTTTTCCTTCTTTAAAAATGCATAAAGCATGAGTTTCCCTATCGAATGAAAGTATTCAGATTAAAAGGAGATGGTGAGTAAATCTTTCTCTTTTAGACTGAGAACAGCAAAAAAGCCATGTTCCCTTTTTTTTAACCTTACCACATTTTCTGTTCCTATAAAGATAGACGAAAGATATCAAGAGTGCTTTTTCTACTTCCTTAGACTATCCAATCCAACAATTCCGACATCAGCTGTGTGAGGATTTTCCTCATATCAACAAATTCCGCAGTGCCCCCTGTGTCAAAAATGACACAACTGATAAAAACAGTACATTAGTACAGTTAATAAAAGTATTCCAGATGTTCAAGAATCTAGGGAAAAGATAGAAATTTATAGTAGGAAAAATGGAAGAAATAAGAGAGGCACCAATGAAACTTCTATAGGTAAAAGACTACATTGTCTGAAATGAAGACTACACTGGATGGGATTAGCAGTACACTTGACATTTTAAAAAAATCAGTGAGCCTGAATACAAAGCAGTAAATCATCCAAAATGAAAACCAGAGAGAAAAAGGCAAAAAAATAAATAAATCAACAGAGAACCAGTGGGCTGTGGATGACTTTGAATGACTGAATACGACTGTAACAGGAATCTCCGAAGTAAGAACAAAGAAGTATTTAAAGAAATAATGGATAAAAAGTTTTTAAATTTTGATGAAAATGATAAACCCACCTATCCAAGAACCTCAGTAAATTCCAAACTCAAAGAAAATGACACTAAGATAATCAAATTGCCTAAGACCAATAATGAAGAGAATATCTTTAAAAGCAGTAAAAAAGAAAAAATGGCTACTGACAGTAGAGCAAATATAAAACAACAACACACTTGCTATCAGAAACAAAAATTCAACAAAATCTTTAAAGCTCTGAAAGAAAATCAACAACATAAAAAAAAAATCTGTGTCCAGAGAAGATCTTTCCAAACCCGAAGGTAAAATTGTAACATTTTCAAATACACAAAAGCTGAAATGATTTACATTAATAGATGTGTACTGTACAAGATATTCTGGGAAATGACTTAGTTAAAAAGAAAATGACACCAGATAAAAACCTGGACCTACACCAGGTGGTTCTCAAGCAAGAGTGACTTTGCTCCCCAGTGGATACCTGACATCGTATAGAGACGATTTGCGTCACAATGGAAAGGTTGCTACTGGCAGCTGGT